CAGCCGCTTGGCGGTTCCCAGCCCCCCATATATAAAATAATGCTCTGAATTTTTAACAGCTGTAAGTTGCGTGTTCACTGGGAAACTGGTGGCGTCTCTTCCCGACTCGGTGTGCACCTGTACTCCTCAGCATGCCTCACATAACTAAACGTGCTTTTCCCCCCAGAAACGGGCATGTTTGCCTCCCTTTCTCCGGCCCGCAGGTACTGCTGCAACAAGGTGGCCTCATGGGTATTTTTTGTCCGATTCCGATGGTTTGAACAGTGAAAGATAAAACCACACATGTTCTGAGCCTGGGAACAGGTTTAAAGAGTCGAGGTGAGGCACTAAATTAACAGTGCTGCCGAACCCGCAGAAATAGCATTAAAAACTAATAAACCATATTGATTACCATCACAGCTTGCATTTCCCCTTGCCCTCCTCCGATGTGAGTTTGCTGGCTCAGCCCTGGCTGAGGGCAGCGGGTTGTTGCAGGGATTTGAAGGGTTTGGGCCGGCGGTGAAACCCCGGGTGTCGATTTAGGGTCAGTGCTGGTGATCACAGATCGGCAATGAAGTGCCCGAGGAGACACACGGGGTCCTGGCAGCCACCACCATGCTGGAGCTGCCTCTTCGGTCAGCCGGTGCGGCGCAGCCATGACGATCTCCACTAGCTTTCTTTGGGGCAATGTACACCTTTAATAACTTTCTTCTGCTGGCTGCGACCCGGTGGTCCAGCCCCCATGCTGCTCCTGTGCGTTCAAACCACTTGGCCATGTTTTATGGCTCCTTTGGGGCTTCCCTCCCTCAATCATGCCATCACTGGCATCCCGCCTCCAGACCGGACCCTGCATGGGTGTACCTGTTTCACCCTGTCACCCTACCACAAGGAGTGGATGTGCCACAGGCCCCATTTGTAGCTCTTTTTCAGAAGGAGCAGGTTTTGGGGCGCAGCTTTGGAGACACATGAAGTGGAGGAAGAAATGGAGGGGGGAAGGACTGCATTAGCCCCGTTTGACCTGGCATGTGGGAACTTGTGCGATGGAGGCAGAGGCAAGACTCTGCATGCCTCTCCCCAGAGCTACAGCTGCATGTAGCCTTCGGCGCGCGTTTTGAGCTGTTTCTATGGCTGCTCTCACAGCTTCTTCATAATTTCTGATTATTGAGATGAGCAGAGGTGGCTTTCCAGCCAGCTCACCAGCCCCTCTCCTGCCACAGGCTTGGGCAGGCTCAGAATCGGGGCTGGGGAAGTGAACATTGAACAAGACTCTTCTGCCTTTGTATTTCTACTGCAGGAAGATAATTTTTCTAATCAACTCCGTAGCATGACTCAGAGCCACATTTAAAAAGGAACACCAAGGAACATGTCACCCTGTGTACCTTCAACCAGGTACACTCCCTTCTTCCCCTCCCTGCTTCATGAACTGGAAAGAAGTACCTGAAAAATTCACTCTGGTCTGTCAGTAATGATAATCCTATCACTCTCACCCCCTCTGGCTTTCAGTAGCTTGGGAAGCAGTGAGCAACCAAGAGAGAAAGAAGAGCCCTCCAAACCATTTCCTTTTTTCAGGCAGGCAGGAGGGTGCTATAAGGAGTTCCTTTGTCTTTCCTTTTCTTTCAGAGGGATTGTTTAGGCCTAGCAAGGCTTGGCAAGGTTGGGTGCGTAAATATGAGAGGATACCAGAAGGAAATGAAGTTGGATTGTTCGAGAGCGTGCTCATTTCTTTGGCAGCATGCTGCATGGGAAGCATGTTGCAGCAGGCATTTTAACAGGCTGGGGGGAGGTCGGACCTATGGCCTGAAGTCTAGCAGGTCTCAACATTTTCTATGCTCTCAATCCCTACTCCTTTTGTATTGCCCAGAAGTTAGCTGGGACCCACACTATGTCCCATTTCACTATCTGGGAAAAGCAGACACTTTATATTCCCATTTTCTCCGCCTGCTCCTGCTCCTTTCTAAACTCCTGGTCATAAAAGATCACCTGCCTCTCTTTCACATTGACTGAGCTTCAGCTCTTCCTCATATGCAAAGCTGCATGTGTCAAGGCTAGAAATGTTTCAAAGCGGAAGAAAGCAGCTGTTGACAATCCTTTACCAAATTTCCTTTGGTTTCTTAACATAAGTATCTCCTAATAGTCCACTCCCTCTTGTAAAGTTTCTGTTGTAGAAACTATATAATATGGTGTATCATTAGCAGCACACTGTAGCAAAGGTGGCACTACAATGAACATCAAACTTGTCTCTTCCTGGCCTTTCCTTTTAAATGACAAAATCTGTAAACCCTCACATCTCACTGCATGCCTTTTCTTTGTGGGTTCTCCCTGCAGGGCTGTCTCCCAGCATGAAGGGTATGGCAGGGCAGTAACAATCTGTAATACCCTCTTTCTGATAGTTTCTCATTAAGTAACCATTACTCACCACGGATGCAGATAAGGTACTGGGCTAGGTGTGACCAAAATGGTAGATCTACTCTTCCTGTGCCTAGATCCAAGGGGAATTTACCTATTTTCTTAAATTATCCTGGTTATCTGCATTTCCCAGCAGGGTCTTGAACACCTGAGGTGCTGAATTTGACACTGATTTGAATAGGATGGCAGAATTCACTCAGCACCTGAAACATGCACCTGCTTGGGAAGCCTGTCTCACTGCCAATACCTGGTACACCAGAAGAAAGCAAATCCCATCCTATATGCACGTTAACATTCCTGGTTAATACAGAATGGAGTAGAGAGGATGCCAGAAGAGGAGGAATCAGCAGCCTCTATCCCAAGACTGTGGCTACCCTTCCTTTCTCTGGGCTGGCTGTATTGCCTTCACTGGTGAGACCTATTCTGTCACAGAGGAGGATTTGCCTTTATACCAAAGGACAATCATCCGTATCGACCATCCCTTCTTCTTCAGTTACTTTGCTATTATAGCCCATTTCTGGGCCACAGTGAAAGCTTTAAGCTCTCCCTTGCCATTAGATGGCAATGTAGATTCACAA